GGGCCGCCGACGAGGGGCGGGATCCGAAGCCAGATACCCCCGCCTATCTCCCTCTGGCCACGCCCCTCGCGCGCCGGCCCCGCCTCCAGGCCCATTCCAAGATGGCGGGTGAGTGGGGCTGGACTCCCGGGGCGCCCCCTCCCCCCAAGCCGGGACCACCCCTTGAGGCCCGGGGACCGCCCCCGCCCGCCCCTGAGGCCGCCTGCCGTAGCCTCCTTGTAACTCCTTATGTGTCTCTTGGTTTTCAGGGATCCCTCTGTACTTTGTGGACTTGCAGGATGACTTAGACGATTGTAAGTAACAGTTCGGGCGTCCCGTCCCTCCCTGGGAACCTCTCATAGAGTTCGGGGTGCACGATAGGCGGGGGTGGGACCTACGGGCTGGGCTCTCCGTGTTGGGCCCAGAATAGCGGGACCCCCAACTGCCTTAATCACTTGCGGTGGTCCCTCTTCACTGGGCGGGGCGGCCGAGGATGGTGAGGATTTTTGTTGCTGGGAAACTTCTGACTTCCTGTCACTTTCTTTCTCTTCCTCCTCCTCCTCCTCCTGCGGCGGCCCGGGAAGGGCGGGAGGGCTAGGCCCTCCTCCTAGTGATTCCGGGAGGGAGGAGGCGTGGCCACCTTGGGGGTCGGGGGCTTCCACCCAGGGTCTCCACTGTTTTCCCTGGGACTTTTAAGAGTGCTGGGGAGTTTGGGAAGTCCGGCTCCCCGTGTGGCCGGCCACAGACTCGCACAGACTTCTCCAGTGTCCTGGCCACAAGCCCAGCTCCTTTCTCATCCCTAGGAGCCCCTTGGGTGGGTATCCTTCACCTGTCCCTTCTTGCTCTTTCCTTTAGAATCACGTTAAGGACTGATGGCTGGGGAAGGTGTTCCTGGAAATGCAAGTTCGCATTTGTGGTGACTGAAGCATTTCCTTTCCATTCAACAAACATTTCTTGAGCACCTGCTGGTTCTGGGCCGGCCATGCGCGGAGCCCGGGACCTACAAACTCGAACCCGAAACGGTGATGACTCTCAGGGAGCTCACAGTCCAGGGAGAGAGCCGACTTGTAAACAGATAATTACCAAACGCCGGGTTGCCTGCTCTTGAAGGAGGCCTGTACAAACCATCACAATAGCCAACATTAATGGGGGCTTACTGTGCGCTTCCCTTCCCCATCTACAAGTTTCCTACTAACAAGAACTGGTGTTTACAGAAAACACCATAGGTCCGGCGCAGTTTAAACCCTTTATGCACATTATTTCTTTTAGAAGGAGGCAACTTTATTAAAGTAGAATGACACTTGAAGGGGCCAATGTTTAGGAGCATGGGTCCCGAAGTCAGATGGCCAGAGGGTGAAGTCCTGAGCCACTGTTTACTGGCTGTGTGATCCTGGCCAAGTCACTGTACCACTTGGAGCCTCATTGCCTCATCTGTAGAATGGGCATAATAGAAGTCCACCTCAAAAGGCTTCCGCGCAGTTTAAATAATAAAAGATTTAGCGTGAAGCCTTGTACATAGGACACGCTGGGTAAATATTATCTGCCATTATTATTGTTGTGATCATTATTCATAATTATTTAACACTGTGGGGCAAAGTACAGTGTTGGCCCCAGGTTTACAGAGCTGAATGTTTCGGCCAGCGGGCATCTTTGAATGGAAGGAATGTAGCCTTTCTCTTGATAAACAACAGTAAGCTGCTGTTAAGGCACCTCTCATTCATAGGTTCGATATTTGGCCTGGCTGGAAAAGCTGATTTCTGGCTATATCAGTTATCTAACAAACCACCCCAAAACTCAGTGGCTTAAATCAACAGCATTTTGTTATTTCTAACAATTCTGTGCATTGACTGGGTGATACAGAAGCCTCATGTGTTCTCTGTGAACTCTGGGAAGACAAGAAGGTCCAAAATGGCTTTCCTCACGTGGCTCTTGGCCAGGAAATCTGCTGGGACTGCAGGTCAGGGCCTCAGTTCTCTTCCAGGAGCTTCGTCCACTTGGCTAGCTTGGGCTTCTCACAGCGTGGTGACAGCAGGCATTTGGACCTCTTTTCTGGCAGCTAGCTTCCTTTTGTCTTTTTTGTATATGTGTTCAAAAAGGAAGAGATTATATAGGAAAAAATAATTCTGATTTTCCTTTGGCCCTGTTTGTGCAAATATTGGGTGTTTGAGACTTGTGATAAAGAATGCCATAAATACTCTTTAGCAGACTGCTGAAGACTCGTCTCAATAAAGAAGAAAACCAGCATTGTGGCTCTGAACACACCCATGCCATGGGTAGGGCAACTCTGGGAGCCTCCTGGGGCTTCTTTTTTTGAGCAGGGGTGGGGGCTTCAGGGTGCTGTTCCTATGAAAATACAATATAATTGGTTAGATTAATAGCCATAATAGGAGGGCCTGTCCCCCCAGTAATTTTTGCAGCCCTGGCTCCCACCTTTGCACTTTACTGGGGTGGTATTTGGGAGGCATTATCATGCTGTGATTGATAGCAAGAACCCTGAGGTCCTGTAACCCACTTCCTGCCTTGAGCTGAGACAGTGGGAGCAGATCACTCACTCTGTTCATGTTCTTCATCTGGAAAATGACATAAGAATTGGAGATGCTTCATAGGACTGATATGAGGATTAGATGAAACAATACACATAAAACATTTTAGCCCAGTGCCTGACATAGAGTATTATATTCAATGATTTTATTACTGTTATTATTTTAACCATCATCTTTATTGCTAGGCACTCGTATATGATTTTCTGATTCGGTGTTAAGGGCTGCTACTCTATGAAGTAGGTGGGATTATTCCTGTTTTACAAATGATGAAACTGAGAATCAGAGAGGTTAACTAACTTATCCAGTATGGCACAGGTCATAAATGATAGAACTAGCATTCCAACTCTGTTCCTCTGATTCTTGCTTTTTTTATTCCATCACACAGATTGACCTCACAAATATTCTTAAGCTAATGGCAGGAGCATGGATGTTGGTTGCGGTGGTTCTCCATCTGTTGTCCTTTTTGGGCATTTTTTGTCTAAACGATGGGATAACCGCTCCATTTAGGCTCTAAGTCACTTTGGGCAGGAACATAGGTCGTCCTTTTTTATCACCCAGTGTCCTCCATAATCTAGGTGTTCAATTAATGTCATTACTGGATGACGAGTCTTGTCCGATTTACTTTGTGATTTCTTGATTAAATTGGCTAACTTCAAAACGAAGCCATAATGAAAGGCTGCCTTGTCTTTTAAAATCATTCAGAGTCTTCAGGTCATTGCAGCACAGAAAAGATTTAATTTTAGTGAATTAGCTTGCTGAAGCAATCTAAATTCCTTCTCTTGAGAGCAGAAAGTATGTGGGATGGTCTGGCACAGTGGTCCTGGTGGTGGATTGCACGTAGAAGGTGGAGCTGGATGCGTCTGTGCCTCAGGGGCTTAAAGTGACCGTCTGGGTTGCTTAAAGCAGGTGGAGGCTTGAAGAGGTATTACTCCTGGTAAGGTTTGCTTGGCCAATTGGAATTTAAGTGTGTGCCAGTGGTCGGTGAAAAAAAAGTGAGGGGAATCTGTTGCAGATATAAAGAGACCTAAGAGACCTATCAACAAAATACAATATGTGGTCATATTTGGATCCTTAGTTGAACAAATCAGCTATAAAAAGACATTATTGAGACAGCTGGGGAAAATTAAACTTGGGCTGGGTATTAGGTTATATTAAGAATCATTATTAATTTTGTCAG